CGAACGAGAAGACCATGGTATCTATATCTTTTTGAAGGTCGCCGAATCTGAAACCGGTGTCCGTTTGATCCCACTAGGTCTAGATTAAGGTCAATTCAAGGTCAAATGTGGAGAATCAATTTCCAACAAAGTGAATCTACATATATGTTTTTGGGGCCGCTGAATCCGAATCCGGTGTCCGCTTTACCTGAATAGTTCTGGGTTAAGGTTAATTCAAGGTCAAATGTAGAGAATCAATTGCCAACAAAAATACTTTTTTTACGGTGTCCGTTTGATCAGATCAGGTCTGAGTTAAGGTCAGTTCATGGTCAAATGTAGAGAATCAATTACCTTGAACTAGACTTAACCCAGACCTGATCAGGTCCAACGGACATTGAATTCGAATTCAGCGACTGGAAGTTATGTTGATTTAATTTGTTGGCAATTGATTCTCTATATTTAACCTTGAACTGATGGGGTCAAACGGACACGGAACGAGCGATCCCAAAAGCATATAGATACCATGGTCTTGTATTTCGCACCTCCCACTATTTTTTTGTAGGGCTGTGTAATTTACACTTAACAGTAAATTATAGCACATTGTATATTAATTTTCACAATTTTATTACAAATAACTCAAATCTTTATATTTATACAGTGCTTTCGAAAAGGAACGAATAAATTCATTATTTTTTAAATTGAGAAGTTTTCGAAAAAATCCCCTGGCACGTCGATTTTGTTTTTAAAAAGGCACTTTTTGACATACAACTCATATTTGTGACGTCATCGTTGTTCGAGATATGACGTCATCGACAATTTTTTAAATAGCAACCCCCAATTTTGACCATGCCATTTGAAAGAGAGTGTCATTCTACATACACAGATCATGAAAAATTATGGTGTTACATAACAAAAATTTCAAGAAAATATGTTTGAAGATTTTAAAATTTAATTTTCACAATACTGAAAATGATAATGATTATGTAAAAATCGACTAAATTAAATGTTCAAATTGTGCACCGTTGGCTGCCTGACAGTAGCCAAGACGATTAATAAATTCTTTTTGGACATTATCAATAACTTCAGGAGGTATACGATGTATCTCGTGACGAATTCTTGCTTTTAAATCTTCTAAATTAACCGGTCTAGTAACGTATACTTTGCTTTTTAAGTATCCCCACAAGAAATAATCTAGGGGTGTCAAATCAGGCGATCTGGCTGGCCACTCAATCGGCCCCCTTCTCCCTATCCAACGATTCGGGAACAGCTCATCTAAATAAGCACGGACAGGTGTTGCATAATGGGGAGGTGCACCATTTAGTCGATTTTTACATAATCATTATCATTTTCAGTATTGTGAAAATTAAATTTTAAAATCTTCAAACATTATTTTCTTGAAATTTTTGTTATGTAACACCATAATTTTTCATGATCTGTGTATGTAGAATGACACGTTCTTTCAAATGGCATGATCAAAATTGGGGGTTGTTATTTAAAAAAATTGTCGATGACGTCATATCTCGAACAACGATGACGTCACAAATATGGGTCGTATGTCAAATAGTGCCTTTTTTAAAAACAGAATCGACGTGCCAGGAGATTTTTTCGAAAACTTCTCAATTTAAAAGATAATGAATTTATTCGTTACTTTTCGAAAGCACTGTATATTAATAAATTAATTAAATATACCTACTTATAGATTGCGTAAAATAAGCAGGAAAATATACCCATTTTTAAAGTAATGCATTGATTGTTAGGTATATACCCGCTCTAACGATTTTTTTCTAAACATAAAAATTGAGGTTTCTACTATTTGTAAAAAACTTCAATTTCTACATTTTTATTTAAAGCATTCTGTTAAATGTATTCAAATATTGATAATATTTGAATACATTTAACAGAATGCTTTACTATGCGTTATTTTTTAATATTATTTTTCGAGGGTTTTGATTAATTATTGAAAATTTCGATTTTCCAAAATTTTGCCGTTACTATCTGTCTATATTTAAAAATACTCATAAATATCATATGCAGAATTTATTCAACAATTATTTATCCTGAAACAATGGCATTCATTGCGCCTTCGCCATTTGCTACACTTTGAAAATATTGCTGTATAATATATTTCGTGAAACTTTTCATATAAACTACCTACTCTAAAGAGCAGATGTAGGTAGATAATAATTTTCGCAGTGGCAATATTTACAAAATTGAAAGCCTTTATTATTTCGCTTTTTCTTGTATCTCATAAAATTATATTAAATTATTGTATCTAGATATCTTATAAAATAGTTTTCCTAAACTATATTATACTAGCTATCCTATCCTACTAGGGTCAGTGATGGCTGGTGCGGGGGGCGTCTGAGGCGCCCCCCACCCCTCTAGAAAATTACGTAGTAAAAAAATTAAATTAACCCTATGAAACACATTAAGAAGGAAATGTTAAAGTCAGTCAACTTAACTCAACTTGCAAAATTCGTTTGCAAAACTCTGAAAACCTGGGCTGCTCATCGTAGCTCGCCTACATCTGCAAAGTGTTTACAGTGGTCATGGTTACCTTCACGCAGCAGTGAAAAGCGGAGTGGGAGTAGCACATGTTTACTATGAAAATCAGAATATTGAACTTTCACTTTCAAAAATAATATTGAATACATTTTCCCTATATTTGAATAGTACCTAAATAAAACTACATAATTATATCTAATTTTTTGTTTCATTACTTTGTACCTAAATATTTCCTCCCTCCCTGGTATGGAAGTCAAGTGCCGCTACTGTGCAAGTAATATACTTTACAAATATATTATGCTTTTTTCCACATTTTTTGTGTATTGTATTATAATCTCTTTCTAAACTAGCCAAAAGACGTCTTTTGTTTAATTTATCGTTTAAAAGAGAATTTTAAAGTTATGAACGATGTGTAATAAGCTAATTTTAAATTAATAAATTAAAATATCTTAAAAATGACCGGTTTTGTGAACAGAATTGAAGATATTTTTTTTCTTTGAAATACAATTACGAATCAAATGAAATGCGCGGATTTCTAATTTTACTGGCTAAGAAATCTTTAACCTTCAATACCTCTCAGTATCTCAGCCACTGCGTGACACATTTTATATCATCCCGTGGTTCGTCAAGATATTTTGACCTAAAATGATCAAAAGACAGGTTCCTAAAGTTATGACATGGATTTTAAAAACGTCCTGTATTCTGACTAAAAAGATTTCACCTTAAACAGTATTTAAGTTATACGAAAAAATATTGTTTCGTGGTACCACATTGCGAAGGCTATATTTGAATAGACCTTGACGTATGTATACAGGGTGATTCAGATTAATTTGGATAACTTCAGGAATCGATAGAACAAGTTAAAATTATGTTCATTCATGATATAAACTTATTTCCTAAATCGCACCGTTTCGTGGATAGAGGGCGTTGAAGTAGGAATTGTTTTCCCTTTTCTTATAGCACTAAAAATACTTTTGAAATAATATTTTTAACGATCACAAACGTTAGTTTATGCAAATCATTGTGAATTTTGTTTTTCATGTGTTGACAAGAGACGAAAAAAGTTTCAAAATTAATGAGACAGAAGAGGTGTGCAGCTGTTTTATTGAAATTAATTAATTTTTTTGAAGTTTTGAAATAATGTAGGAGGTGGGTAGCACACAAAATACACTTCCAAGAGGGTTAGATGATTCACACTTAAGAAGCTCATGTAAGATCATAAGGATATTTGTGTTCCGAATTTCGCCTCAATCGGATGAGTGGTTCAAAAGTTATGAGGGAAAAGCGGAAAAAATCGAAGTTATCCAGATTAAATCTGAATCACCGTGTATAGATAAGTTGATCTCTAAATTGAATGATTTTGATCCAGAGATATCCTATGACTCGTATTATATTCTTTCTTTAATTATGTCTGCTGTGGTGGTCACTCCCTCTAAGGGAAAAAAATTCGCTACTGAAATTTACCCCTCTTCCAAAGAAAAATAACAAAATTGATTTTTTTTAAATTATGTATTCTTTTATATAGTACTCGTGTTTTTACTTTGTTATAAACGTATTAAGCGAATTGAAATGAGTTCAAAACACTTCTTTCCGAAAAAATCTTATCGAATGAAGTCAAACAATATTCCTCGACACCAGAAATGTAGGTACGCAAAAGATATCCATCCTCATAGATAAGACTTCTAACCTTGACTTTGTTGTAACGCGTAGAGTAGTTATTTTTCCCAATATCAAGGTTAGTAGTCTTATCTGTGGGGTTGAATATATTTTGTATCTGTAGATTTCTGGTGTCGAAGAACAATGTTTTTTCTTTTTTAATTTATTTGAATTAGGTTAGAACTATTATAATAAATTAAAAATTGAACCATTCATTTCATAACTCGTTGCTAATTGCATTTTATTTATTTTTTTTATGTTTGGATGTTTCTGTGATACCTATATCTTATTTTTAACGCATGAAACAAGCGTTTTGAAGAGAATGCTTAGGAGCACTGCAATATAGCTACAGATAGAAGGTAATGAATTATACGGGAAAGGCAGGAAATATTTCAACAAACTCAGCAATAAAATACTAAAATTATGTGGAAATCCATAAAAAATAATTACACTGCATTCACTGAATGAAAGTCCTGCCGTACGTTAATCAATGAACAAAATCAAAACTACCTTCCGAAAGCTCTAAGCGAGCCTTGCTCTACGCCGACATGCAAACTATTCACTCCCGTATATCCCGACAATTCCTACTCTAGTCTTCTCCAAACCGCCGAACGAAACGTTGCCGCATATATCCACTGCGACGTTAGTCTCATAGAGGTCATTTTCCCACGAAAAGCACATGCTTAATATTGATTTCCATCTGATCTCTACCGAAAGCATTTCACGTCGCAGTGCCCACATTGGGGTTAGTTCCACGATATCCATGATGGGTTAAAGGACCCCCAGTGTACTAGTTACAGGAGTATAGAAAATTAAGCACTTTTTTGAACACTCTAACTATTTCTTGAAAAAGGTAAAAAATGTCTGGAAAGAATCCCGAAATGACGCGACAGGGTCATGAATTGGCCCCCTTGAACTCCAGGAACGGGCCTGATGGTACAGGAAAACCCGGTGTGACGATTGTGTTGCAGGGACCGAGGGGCTCTATCATTTCTAGGGGTAGCGGAACAACCCAGGAGCCGGACAGGGCGACCTGGTCGGGGAAAATGCAGTTCTTCTTGTCAATTATCGGATATTCCGTGGGGTTGGGAAATATTTGGAGGTTCCCTTACCTATGCCAACAGAATGGAGGGGGTGAGTATATATTTTTAAGATGATGGTTCGATAATGAACAATTAAAATTTCTTTCCATATTGATTGATTTTGGCACTAATTTTAGAATAAATAATTCATACAAAGGAATATATTTTCATTTTTAATTAACCTTTTGTGCAGGCACACAGAAAAATTATTTTAAATCAGGAATGTAATTACATATTTGAGTAGGTATACGAGGACGCTGTAATTGTTTTAATAAATAAAATTTATTATTTTTTTCCTTACAAAAAAAGTTTATTTAATTCAAGACTAAGATAAGCTCATATGTTATAGGTTGATTTAAAATTCTGAAATTAGAGACATCAATGTCTTATTTGAAAAATATTGAATTCTTTTTTCTGTTATATCTCATGAATCTATAGATTATTTGAATTAAATTTGGTATAACTTATAACTGAATAGAGGTTTTCAATTGCTTTTCAAAATCCACCAAAAACGAAATTTTGGTCAATTTATCAGTGATTGGAAAATAATTATGAATAACATTCGTAAGTTCAACAAGTTGACCACCTTGTTTTCCTGACTTAAATCCAATAAATTACTTTTTCTGTAGAACTCGGGAGACTTTTGGTACTAGTACAAACTAAAAATGAATTACGACAAGAAATCAAGTTTACCCAGCTGTTTTATTGAATGTATTTCTTTTATATTAGAATAATAGAAGTTTGCATTCTATAGATTTCCAATTAAAATCATGTCGACAATTAACATATAAATCATTAACATATATATTGTCATTAATATTTTAGACTAAAAAGGCGAAAATACTTGCTAGCAGTGCAAATTAAGTTTAAGACGATAAATGATTTTTTTAGACATTTTTTACGTAGGTACTTAAAACGGGGCTCCAATACTCTGTCTGCTTACTATTAACTAAATTAATGAAAATAAAATTCTACTAGTTTCTTTATTTGTAAGTTGTACAAAATGAAATCCATTTATCTATTCCTGAGATGTAACACTTTTTTTAAAATTTTAATGCCTGAGACTACTATCGAAAACTAAGCTTCTAAGACAGAAGTTTTTAGAGTAAAACACATTTATTATTCAATCACCTTATACGCAAATAAATATATTTTTTAACAAAAAACTATTATCTTTGTAAAGAATTATGACATGAAAATCCACTAAACTGTGCCCTGCTGGTCTTGATCTTGTGATGCAGGTATTAAACAATCAATTCTAATCACAACTGATTCATCGGAAAATTTATAAGTTCGTTTATTATTTATAAATAAAATATAAGATACTTGACAATTTTATAGAGACTTTCACATCATATTTCACATTAGGAAAAGTTCGTACACATATGCACTGTGGAACAGCCAAATGGAATAAATTCAGTATCTCAATTATTGTCCATACTTATAAAAAGTCCCAAGACATGCCGATTTTGACGATTAACGTGGATACGAATATGATATACTTGTACAAAATGTAGGAAAAAATCAGTTTTGACCCATACCTGTATTTGAGCATTTTGACCCAAAAATTTTACTTATTTCCGAAATTTGCCGTGAAGTCATGAATTTTGACTACAGGATCATCGCGCATACAACTCTTTCGGAAATGGTATGTGGTTCTTTTGGGTTTGGACTTTTTTTTGTGTGTGGCTGTTTAATCCAGGAATGATGAAGCTTGCTTGTCGACTTGAAGTATGTGGTTTTCCTTCAAACTCAAGCAGTACATCTAAATCGGTACCATTACTATGAAGAATTTTCATAAATTGTTATATCTTCTCTTTAGTTGATAATGTTGAAAAAAACAATGAAACTGTTTTAGTTAGCGTGCAAGTACAAAACGCTGTAAGTTATCGTAGTATTTGTTTATTGTAGTGAATATCATCAAGCAGACCGTTAATGTTTGCAATAAATATAAAAGCGATAACATTTTTGAATGTTGAATTTAGGAATGAAATTTTTACGTTACAGGATTTGATTTCATATATCAAAATCTACGTGTCTGGGATTTTTTTATAAATATGTACAATATTTGAGGTACTGAATTTATTCCATTTGACTGTTCCACACTAAATTGTACTCCTCTCATCTTTTTTACTTTTAAACAAAAAAAATGGTATAGACCAAAGTTGTAATTCCTTGTGATTTCAAAACTGTACTTAGAAAAATAATTGAACTATTTATTTGGATATAGCGCTTCCTTAACATTACAGTAATTTAAGTTTGCTATCTATAGCAATATTATAAAAAGGAAAGATAACTACAAAGTTATGTCACTATAACTACTTTTTTGAAAGAAATGTTAACAAAAACCAGACAATGCCTAATAGACCACGTTATTTATGTCTTTGTATTAATCCTTATCCAAATAAATCTTTACTTCTATACTATACTCGTATACTAATATTATAAAGAGGAAAGATTTGTATTTTTGTATGTATGTATGTTTGTTACGAATAAACTCAAAAACTACTGGACGGATTTCGATAATTCTTTCACCATTAGAATGCTACATTATCCCTGAGTAACATAGGCTATATTTTTTACTAGAAAAAAATAGGGATGCCTACCAAAACTTCAGTAATGTAAACCAAAGTTTGAAAAAAATTGCCATAAAATGTCTTTCATCGCATGCGCTGCGGAAACTATGAATGATAGAACAAAAAAATGTCGTACAATATTAAAGAACATATCAATATCTATAAAAAACTTCGCGGTACCATATGTCCAACTATTATAGTTATGTCACTATAACTACTTTTTTGAAAGAAATGTTAACAAAAATCAGACAATGCCTAATAGACCATGTCTTTGTATTAATCCTTATCCAAATAAATCTATACTTCTATATCTATATCTATACTTCTATATCTATACTAATATTATAAAGAGGAAAGATTTGTATTTTTGTTTTATGTATGTTTGTTACGAATAAACTCAAAAACTACTGGACGGATTTCGATAATTCTTTCACCATTAGAATGCTACATTATCCCTGAGTAGCATAGGCTATATTTTTTATATCCTAAAATGTTTAAAATAAATGTCCACCCGTGCGAAGCCGGGACGGGCCGCTAGTCTCTAATAACACAGCGCCAAGTAGGCTGGGCCATGGATAAGACTAGTGACTAGTGTCATAGTATTTTGACCGGCTGATTGCTAATCTAAAGTCAAATTTCCCGTATTAGTTAGTGTTTTGACCCTAACATCAAGACGCTCCTCTAGAAAGCGGTTTTAGAGATTTCAAACTTACTTGAGTAGTCAGTGATTGGAAAAGTTTTGGAATTCATAACCATAACCTCATAACCCCGTAGTCCCATAACCCTGTAACATGTTATTGGTCGCAAAATTTCACAGTCGCTGATTGTACAGTCAAGGAAGTACTATTATGTTTTTTTAATGTAGATGCAGAAAAACACCAAACCTAGAAACAGAAAAAACCCAAGACAGCTTTGTAACACAAATCTCAGATGCCTCAGATAATGGGTCTACAGGGTCCGCTCCGGATTAAGGGATTATGGAGCTACAACAAGTCTACAAACTCAATTTCTCAGAGTTTCTTGGTTATACATGTTTGCATACCATGAGTTACGGGGTTACGGGGTTATTGTATGTATTATGAGGTTATGAAAGCCCGCCAACCCACTGTCATGTAGTTATACCCTGAGTAGTCTAGTACTATTCTCTTAATCTGAACAAATGTTAAGTTCTAGTTTACATTTTCAGCACCTCCTCTGTGCCCTATAAATAATTATAAATTATGTGTCAGTATCATACTGTTGGTAGACGAAGAAGCAACAAGGTGGTTAATTACACAGCCCCACAAAAAAAAGAAAAAGTATCGGATCTGGTATTCAGACCCATGTATTTCCATATATTTTTTTCCGCTGAATCCGAATCTGCCTTCAGATTTGGCCCAACGGGTCTGAGTTTTCGGGAAAATTCAAAAAAAAGATCAAAATTCACAAAAAACGTTATTTACGATCGACGAAAGTTATAAAAAGTCAAATTATTCTACCAGCTCACTAGACGTATGATTTTTCACTCGTTTAATTCCAATTTATCTCATAGAGTCAGACAAGCTGGTCCAATTTCATTCAAAAACAGAAAATAGATCAAACACTCCATTTTCATGGCATAATTCGTGTTGCAGAGTTCTGGATCCATTTTTTTTTCCACCCACCCATTTATGAATTCATACAACATACATCTTCTATCCAGTCGTCCATGCATGAATACGCATATTTACCCATCCACCTGTACCACCTATAAATCCCACCCATCTATCCATCTACTTTTTGTGCTGAGAGATGAGATAACAGCCTAGAAGATTGAGAATGCAATAAAACTTGTAGATTACTCAACTTTCTAAACAAAAGAAAACGATATCTACAAATTATTCTCATTTTTGTTGCTATAACGTGTTCTCTTTTCTTCAAAGGATCTATGCAAAGGGTTACGCTTTCGTTTAGTCCCTCTATTTTTCGTTTCCCTTTTTAACAGCCAACAAAAATGGGCCAACATGTTGTGATCCCATCTTCCTTGATATCGCTATTCTATAACTTTCGTATCCTGATGAGATCGTTCGCCTTGTTCTTCGCTGTAATCTCTGAGATTTTCAGGAAACCAATCCACATATGCATGAACGAAGTGCAACTTGTAGTCCATCAAACATCCCAGGTCTTGGAAGTCTTTTATCAATTTTAATACAATTTCTTCGTAATTAGGACTCTTGTTGTTTCCTAAAAGATTTTGTCGCAACAACTTTGAGATCAGTTCAAGCACTTTTCTCAACGCTACTCACTGTAGTGATGAATGTTGCATCCTTGAACAATGTCCGAATCTAAGGTCCATCGAATACACCTTCTTTCAATTTCGCCTCAGAAATATTCGGAAATTTTCGCCCCTTATATATATAGGGCGAAAACTTGTTGGTTGTTAAAAAGAGAAACGAAAAATAGAGGGACTAAACAAAAACGTAACCCTTTACATAGATCCTTTAAAGAAAAGAGAACA